ACTCTGCGCACACGCGCGCATGCACGCACACGCAGTGCAACGGCGCACGCACACACGCACACGCACACACACGCACGCACACACTCGACCATTCCCGTGCTCTCGCCCTTCTTTTCAGCGCGAATTTTTTTCCCCTACACGTTATATCCATTGGAGCTCCTCTGATTGGCTGTTTTGATTATGACCACACCATAGAAGTGTTTGGGATAGATAGTATATAAGCCCGCCCCGCCCTTGCCGCGTGGTCCGGATTTGCTGCATGACAGCAGCTATATATCGCAATCAGCAATTCTCAACAGAAACCTTTTACCAAAACAAACATTACGGTTATTAGGCGGGCAGTTGAAAACGGGAGACGCTGGAGGACCTTAGACCTGCAGGAATGGAGGGTGCCACGAGCCTCGTGCGACCTCGCTCACAAGAGAGAGAGAGAGAGCGCGGCGGGAGCAGAGAGAAGGGAAAGAGAGAAAGAGGGGTCCCTCTCTCGTCCTCTGCTCTTTTTCCCCTTCCTCTCTCTTCCCGCCGCTTCTTTTCTCTCTCTCTTCTCGCTCTCTATCCTCTCTTCTCTCGCTCTCTCTTTTCCCCTTCTCTCTCTGCGCCGCGCGCTTCTGGTTCTCTCTCTCTCGCTCTCTATCTCTCGCTCTCTCTCTCTCTCTCTCTCTCTCTCTCTCTCTCTCTCTCTCTCTCTTGTTCTCTCTCTCTATCTCTATCTCTTATCTCTCTCTCTCTCTCTCTTCTCTTTCTCTCGTCTCTCTCTCGTCTCTCTCTCTCTCTCTCATCTCTTTCACTCTGCACTCTCTCTCTCTCTTTCTCTCTCTCTTCTCCCTCTCTCTCTTTTTCCTCTCTGCTTCTCTCTCTCTCTCTCGTCTTCCCTCTCCCCCTCTCTCTCTCTCTGTGCTGGGGGCTTGTTTTCGCACGGCAGCAGTCTTGAGTCTCCATCATCGAGAAGTAGGAGTAGGAAGAGAAGGCAGTGGAGAAGGAGGGGGGAGGAAGTGGAGGCGATGATGACGTAGCAAGCAAGGAGAAGACAGTGGTTGGCGTGAAAGTTAGACAGTTGGAGGAGGAAGTGGGAGAAGGGGGAGGAAAAAAAAAAAAAAAGTGGAGGTGATGATTGAGTAGGAAGAAGAGAAGAAGACAGTGGTGGAACATGAGACAGTGGAGAGGAGTGTCGAGGTGATGATGACGTTTGAGCGAAGAAGAGAGGAGACAGTGAGTGTAGTGTGAAAACATGGAGAACAGTGGAAGGAGGGACTGTGGAGAGGGGGGAAGGAAGTGGAGAAGGGGGGAGGAAGTGGGAGGGTGATGATGACGGTAGGAAGAAGAGAGGATAGACAGTGGTGCGTGATAACATGGGGACAGGTGGAGGAGGATGTGGAGAAGGGGGGAAAGAGAAAGTGGAGGGTGATGATGACTCCGTAGGAAGAGAGGAGGAAGACAGGTGGTGGGTGAACCACTCGGAGACAGTGTGAGTGAGGATGTGGAGAAGGGGGGAGTGAAGTGGAGGTGATTGATGACGCTGAGGAGAAGAGAGAAAGACAGTGGTTGGTGAGATGTAGACATTTGAAAGGAGGAGTGGGATGAAGGGGGGAGGAAGTGGCAGTGATGATGAGCGTAGAACGAAGAGAAGAAGACAGTGGTGGCAGTGTGAACATGGACGACAGTGGAGGAGGATGTTGAGAGGAAGGGGGAGGAAGTGGAGGTGATGATGACGTAGGAAGAAAGAGGGAAGACAGTGGTTCCTGAACATGTGAGACAGTGGAGGAGGAAGCCTGGAGACAGGGCGGCGAGGACAAGGTGGAGGGTGATGATGACGTGAGGAAGAAGAGAGGAAGACGAGGGGTGGGTGAAACATGGCAGGACAGTGGAGGAGGAAGTGGAGAAGGGGGGAGGAAGTGGAGGCGATGATGACGTAGGAAGAAGAGAAGAAGACAGTGGTGGTGAACATGGAGACAGTGGAGGAGGAAGTGGAGAAGGAGGGAGGAAGTGGAGGCGATGATGACGTAGGAAGAAGAGAGGAGATCAGTGGTGTGGTTGAAGATGGAGCAGTGGAGGCAGGAAGTGGAGGTGATGATGACGTAGGAAGAGAGAAGAAGACAGTGGGGGTGAGCATGGAGGACAGTGGAGGAGGAAGTGGTGGTGAAGTGGGTGTAGTGGAAGAGGAAGAGGAGGAGAAAGAGGAGACGACGACGGGAATAGCTGTGCTACTACGGCCTACTTGCTGCTGCTGCTGCTGCTACTGCTGCTGCTATGCTCTGTTACTTGCTGCTGCTGCTGCTGCTACTGTTGCTGCTACTGCTGCTGCTTGGCTGGCTCTGCTGCTGCTACTGCTTGCTGCTGCTGCTCTGCGTCCTCCTCCTGCCTGCTGCTGCTCTCCTCTGCTGCTGCTTGCTGCATGCTGCTGCTTTACTGCTACTGCTACTGTACTGCTACTGCCGTACTGCTGCGTCCTACTGCGGCTACTGCTACTGCTGTGCTGCGGCTACTGCCTGCAGCTGCACAGGGGTCGCTGCAGCTGAAGCTGAGGGATGCGTAGCGTGGTGTCGGCAGTGCGCGCCCGCGCCTGCCTGGTAAGTGGCAGACAAGCTTACGAGCTCGTAAGCGATCATGGCCGTTACGGCGCCGTCTCACTCGCACCACCGCCGTGCGCACGCACGCACGCTACGCTCGACAGTCCATTTACACAGCAGAGATCACATGTGGAAAGAACCAAACTCGGCCGCTTAGACAACATGCGCTCGGCCCTGCGCGACGCGAACAATTCTGCCTGGGAAACCGTTCTTCCTGCCATCACGTGCTCCTGCATGGCAACTGTGCCCCCTTGGTGATCTCCAGTGGTGTTCATGGTCGCCAACCCCCCACCCCACCACCACCACCACCACCACCTCACCCACCGGCTCCACGTCCATAAATTCATACCAGCGAGTGAGGATAAAATGCAAAAGCAGTCATTTAGGAGTGTTTTGAAACCTGCTGTTGTTACTCTCTGAAGGCTTCAGTCATTGGTTCCCACACCTGCGCTTACCTGAGAGGCCAAAAGATCCTTCCACAAGTTACTGCAAATATCTAGCTGCGGAAATTAACCGTGAGTTACCCTTTATCAAGTAACCGCCCTCTCTGCGGTTGTGGTGTGATTTTTCTCTGCCCCGTTTGACTTATATGATTTGCGTTGTATATTGGTGAGTTAGCTAGGTGAGCACTGGCGCGACGGACGGTATGGAGACGACTTCGGAAAATGCGGCCGCGGAATGGTGGTGCCATTTATGGTGCAAACGACATCGCCATCATGCGGCACGAAGCGTATGATGGCTGGTAGGAGATACCCCCACCCATCCCTCACTCCGCTGCATCTCCTTTACAATTATAAGAGAGGCCTAGTCATCTAATCGCCAAGAATAACAAACAGTCCAGTTGGAAAGAATTGTGAAATGTGTAGCAGCAGATCGTTCGAGAATTAAATGCTCCTCAACCATTCGACGTTCTGAAACGTTTCATGCAGGCAAAGTGGGCGATATATAATTTATATAGACGTTAAAAATTTACGGCGCACGTGTCGAGTTTTCACGGTGACTGCGCATGCAATTAAGTAACGGGAGATTGCTTTACGTGAATCGTGTAACACTGCACACTATATTACCGGGATAACAGTTTCAGCGCTCAAGTTGTTAATTGTCAGTTAAAACATCATGCACTTCACAAATGCCCGACAGTGTCAGCGCACTCCCTCCGAACAGACATAAAGCCGGTGGGAGTATATTTCTAAACGCTTTAAGCTTCACCTTGACATCGTTCAAAGCTGAGCTCATTTGCATGGGTCGGTCGTCGTACGTACGTTACCGTCCGTAACATTGGCTACGGTCACGATAACTTCAGGAACCTTTAACCCACTATGTTTTTGAAATTGGGCATAGGTTGTTTACTGCCGTATGCTCCCATATAAACGTCCGTTATTTTGGATGGAGCACGGCCAGTCGACGTTACTTTCGAGCCACGGGCAAATTTTTTGCCAAAAATGCGGATTGCCATTAGTCAGTTTCAAGTTCAACGGATTTTGCTGCATTTTTGGTATGCTGAATGAATAAAAGGGTCGTTAGGTTTGATATTTGTAAACATTTTTTTATGCAAATTTAGGTAGGGTTGCAAATTTATATGAGCATAGTATTATATAGAACACGGGCCAGATAAACATACAATCTGTGGTGTCACATTCGTGCTGGGTTCGTTTTACAAGCATTTCATTGACAATATCTTTAATGCAAATTCTGGCTATGAACATATCTTATGATTTTATACTATTTATTATTATATTATTATTATTATGATATAATGATTTATGCCTAAGAAGACATCACAAGCGGGTGTATAGCGCCATCTACCCGTCACAAATTGTGATTCATTTTTTGTTTATTAAATTTTTATAATTTATATATATATTATTTATTATTTTCACATAAAACAATTACCACATAATTATCAAGAGTATATAGGGAGTTCTCCTATATATGACTCTTCGTTTCTATAATGGTACGTCGATGGTGCGCTCAATATAAACTGACTTCTTCTCACTCACTCTTTTGTGTCCTTTTTTGTAGAACTAGCAGTGTCATTGACACTTTCATTTAAAACAGTCATCGTTATTGTCAGTTTATAGGGTAGACTGGATTAGCAGTAGTTAGGAGTTAAGTTGTTAATATATTAACCATAATCTCGATGGCTGCGAGTATCTGCCTATCTGCTCTGATTTGAGCTTACAGAGAACACGTGTTATGATAGTAGTATTAATATCCCTGCAGCCTATGTTGCTTCATGCATATATATATATATATATATATATATATATATATAATATATACATGGAGAGAAGCATAGAGAGAAAGATGCATTTATTATGTATATTTATATATATAGTACTATATATATATGAATATATGCTTTTTATTGCTGTAAGTTAACACTCACAACTTGTTGCCCATGAGTTTTCATGTTTTAATGTTTTGACGTTTCTCGCGCGCCGCACAGGTAACCGATTTCGGCTTTGCGAAGCGAGTGAAGGGCAGGACTTGGACTCTGTGTGGCACACCTGAGTACCTAGCACCGGAGATCATTCTCAGCAAGGTGAGTGCGGCCATGCATGCATGCTAGTTAATTACTAGACGCGCTGTCTTCAATCAATCCTCTAGCAATCAATCGAGTAATCAGTGGAGCAGGAATATATTCGGCGGCGAATCTCGCGATTAATCGTCACTATTACTTAATTTATTGATGCGTCGTTCGTCGTGATCGTGCGCGCTCGGAATTCTAGTCTCTGTTGTACGCGTCACGCCACAGCCTGCTACTCGCTCGCAGAAATCTGCAGAACTTTACGTGGAAGCTCGCGTGCGGACATTTAAACATTTAAAGGGACAGGATCTGACATTTAGGTGCTCTCGGGCACTCTCGGTTTGGTTCAGAACTCTGGCCAATGAGGATTCCCAGGGATTGCTTGTGCTACAGCACATGTTGCTGTACTTGGCAATGTCTTGCTGTCGCACACACAGATGGATCAACGGTTTTTGCACATGTGTTTTGTGGGTAATCATGTATGCAGTACTTGTATACACCTGCAAATGCCAGATATTGTCCCTTTAAAGCTGCTATCCATCCATAATCGTGAAATTTCATCCATTTTTTGATCCACACACATCATTTACCATCTTACATCATAATTAAGCCAATTAATAATTACACATCATCTGTGAGACTAGCGATTTTGACTCTTACCCATGAATAGAAAAAAAATGTACATGGTTAAGTTTCTGATATGGAATGTTTTCAATCGAAATTTGCATATCGCAACGTAAATGTCCGAGGGACATAATCAGCGGCCGGGGCGAGATCTCCTTTGTTAGACAAGCGATTGACGATTTTACAAGTGAAGTTTGTCAGGTCTAACACGCACGATGTTTTACTGATGATTGATGATCACTAGTCCTAGCTACCGGCACCATGCACCCATGATACTAACCACCTCATGTGCTCGACACCACGCTCCTCCACCGCGCCATGTCACAACAGTGAAAAAAATACACGGGGGCTCGGGGCGATTTAGCCTCCGAAATGGCAAAACGAGCCCCCGTAAATATGCATAGAGTTCAATGCAAACCAAATTTTAGAGTGCTATTTTCATGCACGCGAGCTTGAAAAGTAGCCCCCGAAATTAAAAAAATTAAAAATTTCTTGTGTCACAACCACCATCTTGCCGCATTAGCACCAGCAGAAGCGCTTTAGACACGGTAGGAAGGGGGACTGTACGCTGCAGTCTTATATCACCTCATTTCTGCTTCCGGATCCCTTGCGGATGCGCTCAACTAGGTAAACTAGTGCGGATCGCTCGCTCGTCTCGTGATTAGTAGCAGGTTTCATAAGTGACAGGTAGGTTGGACGTTAGCAAGCACGGCACCTCACCATCCCCCCGGCAGGGGAGCTATCTCACGTTTCTCGATTCGTTTCACCGTCATTAGGAATTAACGCTCAGCTCTACGTCGCCATCATCGCGCCGCCTCACGAAACATCGACGAACCCGTTTCATCTTCGCTGGTTTCTCGTTACGTAGATGTCGTCGTTGCATTTGCGCGCGGCAACAACATCGGTGGCGACGTCCGAACTACGACGTTACTATATAGCTTCGTCTCGTGTTGTCGTTTTATTTTACAGTACGCTGAAATTCTTCTAAACTTCCTACAAAAACCGATCAGACGCATCATGCAGGCGTTGCTGTCTACAAAACAGCAACAACCGTCGAACCGCAGTCCTACGGCTATAGTAATGTTCACCTTGTTGCATCGTGCGTCTTCCTTCAAGGAGGCGACTCCTTTGTCCCTCCCACCCCCTTCTCCAGCCGCCGCCAGTTTATTAGCATAGCTTGCAGTGAGTGTGTGCGTGCAATATATCTCACACTGCATTCGTAAAATCTGCGAAGATTGCCGAAACCAATGGGAGGGTTTTGCGGTTTGCTGTGTGTCAACGCGACGGCGTGCATTCGATTTAACTGTATACACCTTCGAGAAAATTTCCAACTCCCGCTGTTACTAATGGTTATAGATTAAACTTTTATAAAATCTTTAATAAGTGATAATCTTTCATTCTTTCGTCAACCCGGGTATACAGCTGTAGGCATCGTGATGGATTTTTGGTTTTTGTTCATGTCTGGGGGTCCATTGAGCATGACAATTAACTCATCCCTCGGTAGATGTTTGTAAGCTGCTCGGGTTCGGGATGCTTTTCTTGACCGAACTTAAATTGACTACGTCACGAATTTTCTATGGTGTATATTTGTTTTAAAAAAATGCAATTTTTTTACAATAAAAGTATGTACTATCAGGACTAAACGTATCATCAAATTCTTACCTGATAAGATTGTTTCTCAACTAGCTAAAAATCCAAAAAACCTGGACGATTTGATAAATATGATCCTGACATTAATTGCTTGCTATGGGCTATGTATGAGTCACGAGTGTATGTTCACATTGAACAATATAGTAAAGTACGAAGTATAATGCAGCAATTTAACCATAAAAGGTCAACAGAATTACTTACATTTTGTTTGGTAAAAGTGGAAATATGTTCTTTACACACTTCTTTTTCACTATTTACGGTGACGTAATCACTTTAACATTGGCTGGTTGATTGACATGCTGCTGAGTTAGTCGAGTTTGTCCCAGTTGTTGGCAGCGGCATGCGTGTTATCAGCGAATCGTGAGTGGCAGAACTCTGATCGTGGTGAGAGAGAAAGGGGCGAGTTGACGTGAAATCACATGTCTGCGCGGATCCGCATGCAGAGCTTCGAAGATATTGATGAATGCATTGGCGGATAAATTACGCAGAGCGTGGAATGCGGGTCGTGGGTCGCTGTCACGCCTAGTGTGGTTAGCGCTCGGGCCAAAACAAAATGTGTGTGTGGTTACCGTTACATGCCGAACAAAAATAGGGTAGGTAGGTAGGGAAAACATTTTATTTTCTTGAAATATTTTATTTACGAACCATGTCCAATTCATATTTTTTTGATTATTTTTTTTTGACTTTAAAGAAAAGTGACAATGAAATGTTTAGGGTCGCTGGGAATAAATAGGGTCGGTCGGGAAACCGTAACCACAACTATATTTTGTTTTGGCCTCAGACGTCTGCCATTCTCTCGCCCTGCAGCGCCACCGCCGCATGCCGGCAATAACCCGTGCACGAAGTGTGCTGCAGCGCATGCCACGCCGTCTGGTGGCGATTCCCCGCGTAACGAGAGCCAGGTGGCGTGTTTCATATACTGACGTCACACAGTGTCTTATTGCAGCCTAGTTGTGTCCGTGTTTACTGCATGAGAAGCAATAAAACTTGTCACGCGGCAAGAATTTGTTCACTAATTGTTGATCTGAAGATACGTGTTACAAAGATTGCATGTGGCTGGTCGTGGCCGTGGACGCATGGATTTTCCGCGTCCTTGAAAAAGTATTTTGCACTTTGACGTGGTGCGAACCGTGTGGACATCACTGCGCGATATTTCTATCCTCAGACGCGGCAACTAGCCGCTCTTGCTTTTCAGTAACCGCTCCAGTTAGGCAGCTTAGCAAGCTTCGAGTGCTTATATAGTTGTTATTCGCGTACGTACTCCTTGTTAACTGGCGGACTCGTTCACGCGTCCGAGTCGGGCGGCCATGGATGAATCAATGCATGGACGTGTACGCGGGGAGGGTCGTTATCAGTGACCGCGCGATGGGTCTCCATAATGTACGCGCGCGTGCGTGCGTGCGTGCGTGCGTGTTTGTGTGTGTGTGTGCGCGCGCGTTTGTGTGTGTGTGAGTGTGAGTGTGAGTGTGAGTGTGTGTGTGTGTTTGAGTGTGAGTGTGAGTGTGAGTGTGAGTGTGAGTGTGAGTGTGTGTGTGTGTT